TGTTATCTCCTCCCTTTCCTGGACATTGTGATCTTTATTCACATTTCTCTTGTTGAATGTTTTCTATTTTCCCATCTGTGCCATGCATTAGGCTCTTTATCTCTCTAGCGTTCTTTGTCATAGTGTCCTTAATGTTTTGAAACATCAATGCCATTTCTTCCAAAAATCCCTCATTTCCCCTGATGGAGCAATTTGTCTTGTTTTAGTAAATCCCACTCTTGCTCAATAGTCCAAAAACCATATATTCAGGCCTCACATTGGCAGAGCGCAGCTATTTTCCAGCCATTCCTGCCTCAATGCTAACCAGTCTCCCCATTTGAGGTTTTTCAGAGGAGATGAGCCAGCCACTTGAAATGGTATAGGGTCTCCTGCTTGAGTAGGGGCCGGATTAGAAGATCTCCAAGGTCCCTTCCAATTCTGTTATTTTGTTCTATTCTGTTGTGATATTTTTTATGTCCTGATAAGTAAAACCATAGAAATGAAAGGTAGTGTACTTTCTTTTTCACTTGACTGTATTTGAAAACGACCTTTTGCCCTGCTAAGAATTTGTGATTGACCCAGTCAACAACTGAATTTCATCATTTTTCATTGTAATGTAAATGTTTTTCTTTTTTTCTCATCTTCTGCAACTATTAAAGATACCCTTTTATTTGAATCTTATAGACAAAGAGGATGGCAATAAAAACACTGCACAATTGAAGATAACAAGCAACACTGAATAGCAAAGCAAGTCAGTCCAGAATCAAAATATTTTCCATTTCCTTCAGAGCACCACACAATTCTTTACCTTCCTCAGCAGGTGAGAGAGAAACGAGAGAAAATGAAGAAGAGATTTCTACCTGGGAAAAGTAGTGTGTGAAATTCAAGCATACGTTACATGAGAAGTCAATAGAGATTATTTTTCCATTCAGCAAAAGAGGGAAGTGAAAACATCATTGGGGAGAAAAAGGTCAACTGGAAAGCCACGTAGAGCATACAGTGTTGCAGACCTCATTCTGGAAGGAAGAAAATGACCGGTAAATCAAAACACATCTAAACAAGGAATAGTCCATATTTTTGATCTCCTCAAGAATATTAGTTGTGGAAAAGCTCCATAGATGTGCCAGTTGTGGGAAAGATACAACTTGTAAATCACAGTTGATTATGCATGAGAGGATCCAGACTGAAGAAAAGCCATACATATACACTGAATGTGGCAAAACCTTTGATCAGAACAACTCTGTTGTGCTTCTTGGAAGGATCCATACAGGAGAGAAGCCCTACAAGTACTTCCAATGCAGTAAATGCTTTAGCGAGCATGGCAACATGGACTCACACCAAGGAGAAACCGTTTAAATGTCCTGATTGTGGGAAATGTTACTATGATAATTCCAGGCTGGTGACACACCAGAGGACTCACACAGGAGAGAAACCATACGAGTGTCCTGATTGTGGGAAAAGTTTCAGTTGGAATTCCAGCCTGGTGAGACACCAGAGGACTCACACAGGAGAAAAACCCTTTGAATGTCCTGATTGTGGGAAAGGTTTCAGTCGGAATTCCAACCTGGTAATACACCAGAGGACTCACACAGGAGAGAAGCCCTTTGAATGTCCTGATTGTGGGAAAAGTTTCAGTCAGAGTTCCAGTCTGGTGACACACCAGAGAACTCACACAGGAGAGAAACCATACGAGTGTCCAGACTGTGGGAAAGACTTCAGTATTAAAACTAGCCTTCTAAATCATATGCTAATACACACAGGGGAGAAACCATTTGAATGTCCCGAATGTGGATGGTGCTTCAGGAAACATTCCAGTCTTATTGCACACAAGAAAATCCACATGACGCTCCAAGTGATGAATGTAGAGAAGGTTTGAATTTCATTTCTAATGTCCGATTGCAACTCCGGCTGATATATTGACTATTAAATTTGTCTACAAAGAATTTGCCCATTTTTTGGGTAGGCAAACATGTAATGGTACTAAACAGGAAGGTGGAAGGAAAAGATGGCAATATACTAGTTTGATAATGCTTATCTGGCCATCAGGAGCAGAATTTGCTGGAAATGGGTAGTCCTCGGGGTTCGAATGCAATGCAGCCTGCCCATTCCATCTTTAACTTGAGAATTTGTGGGAGTGAATCTCATATATTGAGCGACATCACTTCTTGCTTCCACTCTTGCATTTGCTGCTTTCTCACCGCAGATCAGCCTGAAAAGGCCTCTGGCACCGAGAAAGCAACCCTGAGAATCTGCATGCGACTGCTTTGTTGTTGGCAAAGCGCTTGAGGATTGTGTTCCTGTGGGCTTTGACAGCCTTTTGCAAACAGTCTTTGCCTGTAAGATAGGATCAGGGCTTCAGAGGAGTGTGTGCTCCTCCCAGGCTCCACTGGTGCCAACAAAGGCTTTTTGCAATGGGCTGCTGAAGACTACAGGAGCGGAATCTCTCTGGAGGCTTCGGCAATGAATCGGCAAATGGAGGGAAGGACTGAAGGATCAAAACCTTCCATCGGTTTGCAAACATCCAGGTCTCAATTTGCAGAGAATAGAGGTCTAAAATGTGAGATTCCACAAGATTTTGGGCAACTGATCTTGTGATATGTTAGGCCTCTTCTCTGCAAATGCAGACAAAGAGAGATCTTGGGGAAGTAACTGACTCTCCACAGGCAAAGGGGTGGGAGTAGAGGGTGGGGGGGCGGAATAGGCGGGGTGAATGTTTCAGAGCCTCTGGTCATTCGTAGGAGTGAACAACTGCCGTGGTGCTGTAATATTCATAATTTCGGGATTTGTTTGTAAATTTAGGGCATGTTTATCAGATAACTTTGAACGTTCGGTAACAGAACGCTCATAACCTGGGGATTATCTGTATATATTTTTGGAGAAATTGTGAAAAATCTTTGTTTGAATATTCATTGCACTTTTATAATGGTTACATGATAGAAATGCCACGTACAGAGTCCCAGCCTTTTTCTCCCTAGGTGCCCCCAAGATTTCAGCCGCAGAATTCCCCAGCCAGCGTCTCTTGGGGATAGGAGCTCTAAGGCTATTGTTACAGATTGAGGCTTCTCATATAAGGAGAAAATGAGAGGAGAAGAAAAGCAGAAGCGTTTCAAAGTTCATCTTTTCCAAACAGTTCCAGGAATTCAGAAAACCAACCACGTCTGTTTAGATTGTGTCAAGAATGAGGCACGCAAGTGGAAGAAAAGTATATGAATAGCTAGTATATTTGGGGGAGTTTGGGGCAGTGACAAAACAGTGTAAAATTTCAGATGTAAAGGCTGTTCTGCTCTGCAAGTGGCCTTCATGGAGAAGACCTGTAGGAAGATTAAGTTGAGGAGAAAAGTGATTGTGGTTTTGACCAAAGGATTTCCAGGTTTATTTGTAATTCCTGCTGTGATCTTGTTTGCTTGGAATTGCCTCCTTGTTGCCCTTCGAAATCTGCGGCTGGTGAGCAGCATCAGGGGACTGATAAAGTTGTGCCCCCCCCCCCCCCCCAGTGGGGAAATGTGAGGAAATAATTGTATGGTAGATAATGTTTAAACAACGTTGTGTAAGAATCTTGAATAGCTTTAGAGAAAGAGAAATAAAGGGAAATGTTTCTGTAATTCTGCATTTCCGTAAACAGAATACGTTTCCTGTTCCTTCACTTGTCCCTCAGGGCTCCTTAATATTTTTTCCAAAAATGTATCCTTCAAATATAGGAAGGAACATTATTTGTAGCAGTGAAAGTTACATTTTAGCTAGGTAGATGAATTTTCCTGTTTTTTCTGAGATCAGAAGACACCAAAGAATTCCAAGATTTATTTCCCCAACACCATTCAGAAAGATAGGTTATAATTTTTTTAGTAGCTCTCATTACATGAAGGACACCCAACAACTAGGACCAGGCCAGGTGTGTGGAGAAACCAAGAGGCTCTTGGCCTGAGTCTTAAGTCCAACTTCTTTCGAATTTAAACATGTGCAAAATTTGTAAAATTTAAAATAGTAAAAATATATTTAATCCATTTTGCCTTTTTCCTTGATGTCACATTTTAGTGCACCATCTTTATCATGTCTCATCTTATTATATTTAGTAGTTGGAAATGCTTGCAATGATCTCAAAGCCTCACAGGGCTATATAAAGATATCAAACAATATTAAATAAAGGCAACTGTTGGAAGAAATATACAAGTCCAGTTCCAAACCAGGAGAAAGGCACTGGAGACAAAATGGAGGCTTGAGGTCGATTGAAAAGAATCACATGGGTTCTGGACAGCTGACCACATGGAGTTGGTTCGGAGTCTTATAGCTAGGAGTCAGAAACCCTTTCAATGTTCCCAAAGCCAACCTAAGAGTCAGAGGGGATGGTCTACAGGATGGGGTGAAAAGCCATAAGTTCCCACTCAGACGAACAGTCCATTTCCTCAGAATCAGACTTTGAAGCTCAGATAGAAAGGTGTAAAGTATGAGTTGTTTGGAAGATCCTGGATCTTGAAAGCTGCAACCTTGAATTTGGGGCTGGAGCAGCAGGAACAGCTGAATGGACAGATTTTGTGGGGAGGAAGGCGGCCCAGTTTGATGGTCACAAGCCTAGAGCCTGAGATACTCTCATTTCCAGTCCTGCTTTAGGCACAAAGCCACCTCAAGAGACCTTGGCCTGTCCTGTCCTCTCAGGCCCTGGAAATGGAAATCCATTTCTCGATAATATTCTTTCTTACCTGCGTCCTTCCAGAGCCTAAATCTCACTAGAGGGAAGAGTTCCTCTGAGCAGCCTTCCCAATCTCTACAGGAGTTAGATTTATTATTCCCAAACAGTTTGGGCATAAGACTTGGAGGGCACTAGTTTGCAGAAAGCTGATGTATAAATAGATTCTTAGGGGTGACTCAGTGGAGATCAAAACCTTTCTACATACCAATACTTTATGACTGATTTCCTGTGGCTCCCAAGGATTTAGGACCCAGGAGGTTCAGTGGGTCAGAGCCTCAAAAGGAGCCAGCTTCCTTCGTGCTGTCCGGAGATGCTTCCAAGCACACCCTTGCTAAACGCCTTGTGCTTCTGTAACTTTGCATACACAGAAGTCTCCATTGGGTCAAAGCAAAAAAGTCACAGACCCAGCAGGGCTAGAAAAGGGGGGCTTGGGAAGAGGAGATGACTGTCTGTATACGGTGAGAGAAATGTTTCCAAAAGGCATTTCAAAGGTTGGGAAAAAAGGTTAGTAATGCAGATGTGCGTGCAAAAATGTATCAAAGTTGCCCCACTCTTTGTTTGATATACATTCCTTTTTTTTAGTTCAAAAATTTGATAAAATATACAAAACCACAAAAACAAGTGATTGAGAAGCAGGAAAGGAATAAAAAAAAGAAAAATAACATAATTGAATCTTCCGCCCTTTTCTCTGTTGAGAAATTGTCATCACACATTGTTACTGTATTTTGAAAATTACCTCTGCTCAGTTGACCATAATAAAACCTTCCTTGGCAACGGATCCTGGCCTGAATCCCATTCCTCAGAGAAATCCGGTCTAACATTTCCCTTCCACATTACTCATCTGTGCAGAGGAACAGGGAGATAGCAGTAACCAGATCCTCATGGTTGAGTCCTACTTAAGGACTGCTTAGTCCAGGTAGGATCCCAGGGAATGAGAGCACACCAACAAGCCATGTTTTTCACTGCTTGCTGTCAGAAAGGATAAAAATAAAATCTTTTAAAAAAATTAAAGCAATCAGATTTTTTAAAATTCAAATCAGATTTTTTAAATGAAATGCTTTTGGAGTACAAATCTAAATAGAATTTTCTATTTAAGATACTTTAATAATTTAGTTTTGTAAGGTCTGCAGTACGCTTAAGCCAAAAATGAAACAAAACAAAGACTTAAACCGAAGTTTGCAAATCAAAGAAAGCAGTCTTTTATTCTTTGATCAAAGTTAAAGTTCTGGGAAGAAGTTCCTAGCACATCACAAGAGACATGGGAGGAAAATTCTACAAAATACAGAAAGATGCCCTGTCCTTCTTATACCTTTAAGATTCTTAGAAGTGGAGTAACTGCATTGTAAAACTCTCCAACTTAGATTTACATCTTTCCTGCAAAGACAAATTTCTCTCAGGCATTGTTTGCCTTTCATGTCTAATTGATCACAATTGACCACTTAAGGAAGCTATTAGCAGCATACTTCAAGGTGTGGATTCCTCAGAATGGAGATAGTTACATTCCCAGAGAGGTACATTTCATTCCCAGGGGTTGATGCTGGGGTGAAATGTATCAATCCAGGAAAACAGATGGATTCAGATTGATTTATATGGGACAATCATGTGTCTTAATAGGAGAAGAATGTAACTGATTATGTTTATAATTGTTTTACAACAAGTGAAAGGTTAAGGAAAGTACAGAATGATGCTGGACTATTTTTGATAATCCCATTTGGGAAACTACAAGGTCAGCATGGCAACTATGCGCTCTGTGAGATATGGTCAGGGAATGTAAACACCTTGACTCAACACACTGTTCCAGAAATTCCTATCTGATTCTTCCTCCTGTAGCCACTCGGGTCCAATTCAACTAGTTGTCAATGTTTACTTAAAAGACTTTAAGGCATCTGTACAACTTGTCTAGTGAATGGTCTGTGTGGATAATCTCTGGTGACTTTCCATGACTGAGTGGCGAACACAACGTGTACCTCCATGTAAACAAAGCCCAGCACTATATCCACCCTACCCTATACCCTCCCTATGCTCAGACTGAACAAACTGTCAACTCGTAAAGCATCCCTGACCTGCTCTCGTGTTGGCATAGGCAAAGGGGATGAGAAGACGAATTTTGCAGCTGCATCAAGGAGCTAGTATCTCAGTCAAATCAACGCACATCCCAACCAATACGCTGAAGTCCGTGCTGCCATGAAGTT